GATTATGGTGGATTCTCTATTACCAGAATTTTAAAAATCTGGATTGGACACATTTTCTGAAAAGTTATGTTCTAGTGGTCCTGAAGCAGGGATTAATTCAAGGAATAAGAATAAATGTTCATACTGGTCCCTTCTGGCCTTAAAAATCTATGAATGTATGAATATCTATGAACATACAGGTGAATATTTCAGTGTAATTTTAATACCTTCCTGGAACATGTTCACTTAATAAGGTTGTATGACTTTGCACCTCATCTGAACACAAGATAAATCCTCATTAGATTACATGTGCAATTTTTCAGATCGTATGCATTTTACTGTTCCCATTAACAGAATGACACTACTTATGCCAGTTATATTTTACACGCTTTATTAAAAAGAGATTTTAAATCAAGTACCAGGATAGGCTTTAAGATTACAACCTAAGTATTGTGGTTCTGGCAGTATTTGCCATCTGTACCTAAGAATGATGCTTACCTGGAAGAGGGCAGCCTAAGATTTCCATTCTCATGCAGATGCTCCCTTCTCCGTACCATGATCGAGGGTTTATACGGATATATCGTGCAACAAGGGGCACTGGTAGCACATTGAGCACTGGGACCTCTTTCTCACTGTTTCCTTCAAAAATCTATTTAGGATTAAGCATAAAAAAATGTCAGGTTTAGCTCTTCAAAGGAATCAAGGGAACCTTTGGTGGTAACAGCAGGTACACCTCAGAAGTTGGGTTTAGACTGCACCCTAGTAAGACCTTGAGTCATAGGAGAGGGAATCTCCAAAAAGAAATGCTGTTCCGAGTCATGTACAAGTGAGCCAGATTACAGAGGAGATGGAGCTCATTGCCCATCCCCTCCAGACCCTTCTTGGACAACACACACCCAAGGACTGGGGGACACCCAGAACATACAATCCTGGATCTTCTCCCAACACAAAGCATGTGATTGTCTGGGCTCCTTACATTCACACTGACAATTTAAACCTTTGTATTCAGATTCCCAAGGTTGATTCAAACTTGCTTACCATGAATTACTATTGTCTGTGTACCATGCTTTGCCCTAAAATTGAGATGAGGTCAGTGGGACTCTGTTCAAATTCACATATCAAGGCAGATCCTCATCTACTGTAAATCAGTGTAGTTTGGTTGATGCCAGGAAATACACACCAGTCGAAGATCTAGCTCCTTGCACCTATATCACAACATGTGCAAGGAGTTGGAGGGATTCTCTCTGCAAAACCAGTGGAGAGCACTCTGTAGAACCAATGTATACAGTACAAAGTGGGACAGAACAAGTGTATTCAGACAATGGGGAGGTCTGGGGGAATATGTACCTCCTTAGATGCTTTGGAGATTCTCTAATATATATACACAATTGGTTTTATACACACACACACACACACACACACATATAATTTTATAACACATTGTATAAATTGTATTGTAAATTGTACACATTGTGTAATTATACACCACAAAGTTTTAATACAACTTGTAAATTCAAAATTAAATGTGTTTTCTTCCCCAAGTATGTTTTACTCAATATTGCTAATGAAGCCCCTTTTTATGGTACTCACCATATCTCCAGATCCATTTTTGACAGTAATCCAGGTGTGACTGTCATTGCTCACCATTACTCTATAAGATGTCACCCAATCGCTCCTAAACAGAAAGCAATAGGTTACTCTTTTTCTATTTCTTCTTTTTCCTCTTGTTATCAAGTTAATGCAAATTTTTTTCAGTGCAATAACACTTACAAAGCTGCGAGTCAGAGGAATCCCACTTTGCTAAGTTGTATCAGCAATTGGCTGGTGAACATGCGAATCTGGTTTTGGCACGAGTTGAAAACCTAGGCAGATGGAAGTAACGGGCACCACCAGAATAACATTTCTGGGTTCCAAAAAGTAGAACTACTCCTCTCCCTTCCTTTTATGCAGAAACATATTCAGCAGTCAGCTTTCTACCTCCCTTGACTAAAGACTTATTTGGAATATCTGCGTAGGTTCCAGAGAATCTCCACTGTCTGAGAACTTTGCTTTTCCAGACAGAGAACATTTATAATTCCTGCCATTAATGTCAGCAAGAATGAAAAAGGGAAATAAAAACTCTTGAATCACAATCCCATTATGTTAAGTAAAAGCAGTTACACACTGGGCACGTCTACACATTACACTGTGTTGCCATAGCAATATACTACAGTAATATAGCATCAGCAGTCACAAACTGTGACGCTGCAGCTACATCGCTATAGCAACTTGGGCCCTCATTATAGCGTGTTGCTACACTGACTTGCCAGCTAATAATAACCATGCATGATGCAGTAGAGGCTGTTACTGAGCCGTCATTAGTACTTTAGTCACTTAGTACTTCCAAAAGGAAGTACTAAATGATGGCACAGTAACAAAGGTGCCGTAGGGACATGTATAGATATGCCCACTGTGGCTCTTCATATTTTTAGTTGCAGGCTGTTTCCATTTCTTGGCATAAACATGAGGGATGTATGAGTCTTGAAAAGGTTAATTATTCATGAAGGACCTTGTAAACTGAATGCTGAAGATGAACAAAACCTGGAGAGGATTAGGAACCAAGCTCAACAGAATCAGAGATATCTGACTGAGCCCCTAACATGCTAGAAGGTGGCCAACTGGGCCATCAAGTCACTACTCCAGTAATCATTACACTCAGGCAGAAGCGAGCCAAGCAGGGTGTGAGGCCCAGGGAAATCAGCCTGTGCAGGGGCCCACCCCTGGATGCGAGGAAGCCAGCAGTGGATTCGGCAGTGGCTGGGGTTGGCGGGGGAGGTGCTGAGCAGCCGGAAGTGATGGATTCAGCAGCGGGCGGTGGGGGGAGGGACAAACAGCCAGATGTGAAGCTGGAGGCAGCGCAGAGTCACCACGGCCACCCCGCCCAGCTCTGCAGGGCCTCCAAAGTGCGGAGCCCAGGGCGGTTGCCCCGATTCCCCACCTAGGGATGGCCCTGCACACAGAAGCATTATGGTTTGAGCTGTGTGGTTCTGACTTTTCAAATGGCCCTTCTAGCTATTCCTGTGCAAATCATCTTCTAGTAGCCAGAACCTCCCTTCCTACATTATGGTTAAATTTTGCTTTGCCTTTTCCAGTCATTAAATGGCATAAGGAATAAACTATTACTTCTAAGCTTGACTGAGGTAGACATCTGATCCTATGGCCAGTCCAGTGTGAGGTAGAACTTCTGTTCCAGTGACTCTCAGCCAGAGTGCTACAGCACCTTGTGATGCCTTGAGATTCTGCCAAAGGTATCATGAGGCACCATGCAATGTTAACACTTAAGTGAGTAAACACGATTCACAAGATAAACCCAGAAATTTCAACTAGGAAGCCATAGTGTTAAAACCATTCAAACCTACTATAGTCTTTTTGAGTTCTTTGCAACAGACAAATTGTTCCAGTATTTTTCTGTACTCAGAAAATGAGTAAAAACTAAGAGCTGACATTTGATGAGGGGAGCCTTGAATCTATCCAGGGGTGCCTTAAGTCTTAAATGGTTGAGAACAACTGTCCTACTCACTGACTCATCTCTGGGGCCATGATTTTACTTTGGGCCTAAAGGCACAAAGTACTCTTAGCTATTTCCAGGACTGTTGATAGGGAGCAAGGGAAGCTGGGTGGCAAGAGGGTATTTCACTAGTTTTCTAGTTGCATGATCAAGTACAACTAATGTTCACCCAAATTCTACAAGACTGGAGAGAAATATTTTAAATCTTCTCTTCTACAAGATGGTGATCTGCTAGATAATGCTTAAATGAACCACTGCCAGCAAAAAAAATAATTAATAGTGTAACAGCTGCAAAGACTTGCTTGGCTGCAAGCTGAGTGGGTGGGCTATGCCTAAAAACTTTGCAAAAAAGGCGGCAAAAAGTTTGCAGAGGGTTCAGTGCTTTTCCAAACGGGGGGTATGCTGTGCAAAAGCAAAATGCATGCTTTTTTATGAGGATTTGAACTGTAACCAGAGCCCCCATTGCAAACCCTGGACTCTGATTGGCTACTATGGAGCCATAAAAGCTGAGGGAGGGAAAAGCACCTGGAGAGAGATGCTGCAGGAGAGTTTATACCAGCCTGGAAAAAGCCAGGAGAGCTACACCAGCCTGGATCAGACCCTCTTTCCTATAGGCAGAGGGAATGTTGCTGAGGCTTGCTGGGGAGCAGACTTCAGGACAGATGAAAACCTCAGTCATCCCAGGAGAAACTGATTCCCCACCCGGGTCGAAGCTGTGCAATCAGGGACACAGGTACCCAGGGAAAGAGTGGGGAGGAGTTAGTAAGCTAGCTGGGAGCTGAGAGAAGATGCCTGGTCAGGGACCTGCAGAGGGAAGTCCTCTATTTGGGCTGGAAAGGTTTGTACTGCAGGGACAGGCCTGCAGAGGAAATCCCCTGTCTGCCTGTGGAGGTGCTGGGGGAGAGAGACAGTCCAGAGCAGGTTGTGAGAATCCCAAATCTGCATGGGTATATGAGCGGACACTCAACCCCTAGTGTTTGCAGGAGGTGTACTTTTCAGAAACCAAAGAAAAGAAGCCTATTAACCTGCAGTGGCTGATCAAAGACTTTTTTTTTTTGCTGAGTTACCAAGAAAAAGCAGAGAGTCCACCATCCTTGGAGCAGCAGAAACCTCACCTCTGACACCTAGTGGTGGATCATAGTTAAAGCTGTATTGCCATTTATTGTTATGGGAAGGAGAGTGTGACCAGAGGGAAGTCAACCTGGGTTGGGGTGGGGGGAACTGTTTTAAAGTGTTATAACCAAGTGAATGTAATCACTGAGGTTGTGTGATGCAAGCCGCACCACCCAGTGTGGTGGACTTATTCATCTATTGTTGCAGTTGTAAATTCTATTCAAATTATTGGTTTTATTATTAACTGTATATATTTCGTGTTGATTAATCATTTCTTTTCTGTATACAGTTGTGTATAATAAAGAAATTGATTTGTTTATTGGATATAAAGTAAATTCTTGGGCAGTGAGGGTGAGGGAGACACCTCAGTCAGCAGACCTGCCTGTGGGGGTTCCCAGGGCTACTGGCATACTAAGGATCCAGAATTTGGCATAGCACCTGGACTAGTGTGCCAGTGAGGGTTACAATAGGTCCGTACCTACTACTGCACTTATCTTGCTCTTAGTTGTCCAGTAAAGTAACTAAAACCATCATGACAAAAAAAGCAAAACAGAGGCAGGCTTATGAATGTATTTAACTGCTAAAGGTGCAGGTAGGTGTCTTGTGGAATCTATCTACAAAAGTGCCTATTATGCAGGTTAGGTTTCTATATATCCCATTTAAGTCAGTGAAAAGTACCTAGTTGCATTTTAAAAATTGCTTTGTGAATTAACATCTATCCCCCTTTGTAAATCTGATCATTGGTTTGCACTGTGAGAATCAAGATTAAGCTTGCTTAAGAATCATTCATAATAATATAAACAGCAAATTTTGCATATTGCCAAGGACACCAGAATTTTTTAAACTGTAGGGAAAAGAAGAAAAACGTCCACAGTGGAATACTGACTGGAACGTTTGCTATATAATTGTTAAAAGACAGAGCCTCTATACAGAACACTAAACTTGCACTCTCTCAATGCAGCATCTCCAGAGACGGGATTTACTAGAGTATCACTTCTGCAAAGTGCCATGCTGGCGTCTCAAGTCTTTCTGACTGTAAAACGATACAAGATATAACCAGCAACTTCAGAGCTCTACGTAAGCGCTGTGCACTTTTAGAAACAACTTTCTTTCCTTCCCTGGGCTTATGTAGTAATATGACAATTGTGCTGGAGGATCTCCCTGATCATAAATTTTACAGAGGCAGGTTTACATCCAGCAAAGATGGAAATGGAATTTAGGAGACAGCCCCAGTCAAAATGCTAGGAAAAGGGAGAATAAACTTAGAGTGAAAAAGAAAGAAAAACTGAGTTATATTATTTTTAAATCTTGTTATATACATTGATATACATGCAGAGAAATAGAAACAGAGAAAGAGAGAGGGAACAAAAGCAATGGTATTTATTTTTGGTATTTTCTTTGGCCAGTTTTCAGAATCAGGATGACTAATTCAAAAAAAGATTTTGTTACAAACCCGAAAGGCATCATTCCTTTTTCTCGCCATTAACTGCAAAGCCTCCCAGAATACTTTTACTTGGACTTTGTAAATAAAATTAGTCTGAAAAATAAAATCTCTCTGTACTCATTTGTTCCTTAAATAAATGGTTTTGAAAAAAATACATGATTTCATAAACATAAGGCTGGAAGGGACCTCGGAAGATCATCAGGTCCAGTCCCCTGCCCAAGGACAGGAAGTCAGCTAGGGTCAAAAGATCCCAGGAAGACAGGCATCCAAATGTTTCTTGGAAGTGTCCAGAGTAGGTGCTTGCACCACCTCTGGAGGGAGTCTATTCCAAGCTCTGGGAATACAGACAGTAAAGAAGTTTTTCCTTATGTCCAACCTAAAACGGTCTTCCAGGAGTTTGTGACCTTTGGACCTTGTCTTCCCTTGGGGTGCTCTGGTGAACAGGTGTTCCCCCAGATCTTCATGTACACCACCTATGTACTTTTAGGCTGCCACCAAATCACTCCTGAGCCTGCACTTCTCTAGGCTGAAGAGTCCCATGGCTCCCAGCCTATCTTCATAAGGCCTGCTC